AGGGTTAATCGTATAATCCCCAGAACTTGTCGATCCAACATATTCCATTCTACCTCATCCATCTTTTCCTGCTTCTTTCTTAGTAACAGTATGTGGAGTTTCTTCCCAATGAGGTAATCCTCTATCTGCATCATCCAATAACTAAAATCTGTGTCATTAAACTTCTCGATCCCTAATGTCATCACTTCGTCTCGTCTCTCCCCATCGTTCTTCCTTAGATTTGAAACCATGACTCTGATACCAATTGTTGTGAAAAACGATGACAATGAAACAAAAATTTGGAACGACAAATTAGCAAAATAGAAAACACAGTGTTTAAGTGGGTAGACAAATTGTCTACGTTCACGGAGCTGCAGAGGATTTTATTACTCGATGATTACACCGTCGTCGATTCGACAATTACAAGAAAGAAAATCTTTCTCTCTCCCTCTCTATCTCTCCCTCTCCCTCTCCCTCTCTCTTTATCTCTCTTTCTAAGGCCAGCGAATAAGAAATATACAAGTATAATAAGAGAAGAAGCTTTCGACTTTTCCTTCTAGTAAGTGATTACCGAAAGCAATTACACTCAAAGGGAGAAAATAATTATCGTGATGGGCTTCGTGGCCCTTTTAAAACTTCCCAATATCCAACTTATTTGGGCAACCCTTAATTTCGTGATTCCAAAAGAAACATGAAATTATGCCTAAATGACCCATATAAAAAAAGCCCACTAAGGCAAGCTATCAAATTCCTTTCCTTATTCTCTTTAGCAACAGGAGGCGGGAACTTCTTTTGCAGGTTACCAGGTGGTGGGAGATTAATCTGGGCAAAACTTAATTAAGCAATATTAAGCTTTCCTTAATTCTTCCCGTCAAGAAAGGCAGCTGCTTTAAATGAAAACGGGAAGCGGAAAGCTATAACAAGGAACAAATTACATAAAAAAATAAACTTAAATAATTTCCACAAGTGTTTAAGTCCAATTCAAGGAAGTGGACCGAGTGTTCATCTTTCTTAATGAGTGTGTCGTGGAGGCAGGGACCCATTGGGGTGAGTGTTTTATGGAGACAGTGACCCGGAGGGTGGGTGTGTTGTGGAGGTAGTGACCTGGATGGGTAAGCATGATTCTCGTTAGGGGAAAACCACACAATGGGTGGGCTTGACTGTGCAACCCCCTACCCCCCGTCGAATAGGACATGTGGGTGTCTGAAACGAGTGTGGACAGTGACTCAAGCAAACTCAACCATGGAGGTCATGATCATATAGGATGTCGTGCAAAGTAAACAAGTGTGGGGATACTAGTGTGAGTGCGAACACTAGTGACGTGGGGCACTGTGACGCAAAGATGTTACAGAGCAAGTCTGTTGAGTGATATAGCTCTGGGAGGCACGAGCACTTGTCAAGAGCAATGTGAACCAATCATGCGATGATGCAACATTAAACATAAACGGTCGGTCGAACAAATCGGGCTGATCGGATGAGCAGATGGAAAGGATCAATTGAATTGATCGGGCCAGTGGTGGTCGATCGTTCGAGCCAACGAAAATAGTCAATCGGGCTGGCGGGGGCGGCTGATCGACGATGAAGGGTCGGTCGGACCAATCAGACTGGTGGCGGTTGATTAGTTGAGCTGATGAAAAGGGTCGATTGAATTGATAGGGCCGGTGGTTGTCGATCGTTCAACTCAACGGGTGGTCAGCAGGCCGACGTAAGCGGCCAATCGACGGGGAAGTGTCGGTCGGACCGATCAGACCGGTGGCAATCGATTAGTCGAGTTGACGAAAAGAAAGCATGTAAAAGTGATATTTTGATGTAATTTACAAATTCATGCAATTCACTCAACCCGAATATGAACACATGCATAAAATGGAGGTTTGATCACGCTCGTCAACGAAGACAAGTTCGTCCTAAAGACCTCACAGGTTTTCCTAGGTTAAAAGTAACGGGGAGCGACGGTGGCCACCTCCGTTTGCCCAACAAGAAGAAATTTTGTGGAGAAAAGTTTTCGCGACGTAGGGAATAGGGAAAGTTAAAGTCATGGTACTTTCCATTCTTTATGCCCAAATTGACAAATTTCACTCCTCTCCGTCGTGTGAACGAAATCGCCGACACAAATGCAGGGTTGCAACGTCCCCGAATATTGGGATTTTGTGCTTGAAATGAAAAGGGGCAGGTTTTTCTTGTGATTTCGTGGGTAATCACAAAGGCTCCCTAATTCTATCGGGTTTCCTTTAAGAAATAAACAATCAATCAATAGGCGTGTGTCGTGTCAAATAGCGTTGGCCGACCAACTTGCCTAGCGTGGGCAACTGAACCCACGTCAACGTCACAAATTTGGCCAATCAAAAGACGTATAGCTAGACCGACTAGTATCGTTTGGCTAATCAACTTATTCGATAATGAGCGATTGGTTGAGTCGGACGATACCGGGTGGCAGGTTAAACCCGCCTCGTGTGTGCAACCAAAACCCACAACGCCTAGCAAATTTTACTCCTAGGGTAGTCTAAGAAAAAAAAACACAAGGGTTTGAAGAATTTCACCTACGTGATGGTTGATCGAAGTATTTCTTCACGCAGGAGGAAACTCTCCTAACAATAGGAGAGAAGCCCACTCAAGTTATTTCCTAAAGCAACGAAGAAGTTCCCCTCACTGGAGAATCGTTGGAGATGGAGAAATTGACTGGATTTCTTCTCCCAAATGATGAAGAAGCTTTCCTCACCGGAGAGAATGAAGGAATTGTTGAATTTGGCCTTCCCCCAAGCAAAGAAGAAACTATCCTCGTCATCTCACCTGGGTGTCGCAGAAGATGAAGAAGACAACCAGAGAAATAGAAAAAAAGATGAAGGGGATCAAGAAGAACGGCTTCCCTCACCTTCTCTTTGAAGAAGATCAAGAATCTCCCAAGAAAAGCCCCTTGAATGCTCCTCCCAAGCTCTCCTCTTTTTGGTTAGCCCTCTGCCTCTCCCTCCAATGGTAGCCAATCGGCTCAAATGAGCTCTTCCCCTTGGTTTATCTGTTGTAGGAAGTTTACCCAAGAGATCTAAGCCACTTTCCCAATTTGGAATGTGCCCAAAATATCTCCCATACCATACTTAGGTGAAGAATTGGTCAATAGAGGAATGACCAGTGGTCTCGGCCGCCTTGCCGACGAGAATCCAGGGACCAAAGGATCAAAATTTGCGAATTGGACCTCCACGCCGGGCTCGGGCGTGGTCACACCATTGTTCATAGTGTCGCAAATCGGAAGTTGACGTGGCTACACACCCGATGCCCGATGTAATTACGTCTGGTGCTCATTCTGGGCGGCGTGGCCACGCCACTTGCGGGCTTGGTCACGCCGGTCGATGAAATTAGGCGACTGTTGAAATTTGGGCGCGGTCATGCCCATATTGCGGCATAATTTTGCCGTAGTCTCTGTTTGACCGGCGTGGCCACGCCACCTTCGGGCGTGGTCACGTCGACTGCAACCCTTTTAAGTTCTTCGAAGAGGTCTTAACGTGGTCATGCCTGATTTAGGCGTGGTCACACTACTAACTAGACGTGATCACACCTAAATCAGGCAGGGTCACGCCATACCCTAAAAAAATTGGGCTTCCGCAAAAGCTTTCAAAGGGGGTTTCGGGCCTCGTGGGACCTTCGAAGAATCGAATATGAGCAGTTCATGATCTGTGGACCTCCGTAGGGACCGTAAATGCGTCTCAAAAGAGTTCAAAACGCCAAACCATCTACATATCGTGGTTCCAACTTGAAATCTATCTATCTAGGCCTTAGACTTAAGGTCCGAACACGGTGTGGGGTACTCTAGTCGACGATCTGCACCACGAGAAGGTCAATATCAGCAGTATACAACCCTGTGTCATAGGAGCGAACGTCAAACTGGGGGATATCAGAAGCAATGCTTGCTTGGCCATGATCGACTCGGGGCACGGCTATGAAGGTGTAGACCTCAATTACTGTGTCGTGGACTCAACGAGCATGTCCTGTGTATATCGCATCAAAAATGGATGCCAACACTATTGAATGTTCTAAGCATTACTGAATGATCATAATTGAATACTAAGACGATTATTTTTTTTACACTAATTAGATATATTTAACTAGCATGCATTTTGTTTCTCTTTCATTTTTGTTACTGTAGTTTAGAATTAGGCATATTCAATGACTGTCGATAGCTCACATTCGTTTAAATGAACTTTTTTATGGTTTAAGCTTTTAATTAGAAGATCAATATTAAAAGAGATAATGTGTATGTAAAATAAGTTCAACAAATAAAAGGGTAATTTTTATTTGTTAAATTAAATTACTTTCTTTGGTGGTTCTTTTAATTTATTTGGATTGTAAACTATTTGTTATGGAAAATGAAAAATATAATTAAATATGGAAAATGAAAAATATAAAAATTTAATTTTATCATCTGGTTGTTCGTTCCCACCTTGAAAATTCTCTACTTCCAGGCCGATTCTATTAAAACCCCCTAGCCATCGATTGCGATATGATAGAGAAGCCATTGTTGCTTGATATCTGTGTTGTTTGGCTCAAAAATGGTTGATATGGGGCGAATCTAGATCTATTCCTTATGATCTTGGTGTCACCCATGTTTATTTTAGCTGTGCTTTCACTGCTATTGAATTGATTATTTCAATAAATTAGACATAGACTAATTAATTATGAGTTTCTTCGAGATTCATGCGATACATCAACTTTCAACTTAAATGTTTTGCTATCCCTAACATTATCATGCAAACTGCTCTATTTATAGAAATAAGAATAACAGGCATAGAAAATCAAGCCTATCCCAACTCAAAGTCAAATTTATACTTAGCCTAACAATTACCATAAAGGATGATTCTTTGCAATTCAATGCTGAAATAGTATTAAACTCTGATCTATTTTGCACCAATTAGTTCATTTAACTGTTTCATTATGTGGAGTATTTTTTTTTTTTTCAAATTTAGCTTCAAATAAATGTGCAACATTGAAAATCATCATCTTATTTTCCGTTTGTTTTTTCTTAATGCATCCAGAAAAAACCAGGCTTAAGCTCTTATGCAAAGGACCCCAAAGAGGCTGCGGAATCTTTGATTTCTCTTTTAGAGAAAGCTGAAAGTGTGGTTCCTGAAGAATTGAGAGGGAAAACACCTGTTAGAGTTGGGGTAAAACTTATAATTGCTTACAATATACTTTTCTTGTTATGAGAGGCTGAAACCCAGAATAGTTATCCAGGAAAAATTTTACTGACTCAGTATTTCTGTATTTGTGCAGGCCACCGCAGGTCTGAGGCAGTTGGGAATTGAAACTTCTGAGAAAATTTTGCAAGCAGTAAACATCTATATTGCTTCCAATACTAGTCTTGGTTTTATTTAAGCTGAGAAATGTTTGGTTTTCTCTTTTCAAAAGATGATGGCTTATTTTAAATTCTGATGGCATATTTTTTCGTGCTAGCAAGCAAACGTTGCTATAATTATCTCTCTACTCACTTCGATTTAACTGGCAATTACTGCAGGTTAGGGATCTCCTTCATGAAAAAAGCTCACTAAAGTTTAAATCAGAATGGGTTTCCGTTCTTGATGGCACTCAAGAAGGTGCTTTCCAATGGGTATATCCTTTCATCTATTCACTTTCACTCTTGATATATATATATATGTGTGTGTGTGTGTGTGTGTAATTGTTCCTTGAAACCCCTACGTTTTTAGAAAGATTATTTTTTCTGATATTTAAATAATGAACTCGCACAGTCACCATGAAAATTCTTCTCTGTTTAGAAACCAGTCACCTCAGTATCAAACCCTAATAGAGAAACTTCAAATCCAAATTCCTGTGACAGATTTTGAAATAACTTCAGTGGCTTGACCAAAAAAGGCAAAAGTGCCCATCATCAAGTCAAACTTACCTTGAGAATGATGCAAGTCTAAACTTGGAGGGTATGGTCTCAGCTGTATCTAACTCTGGGGACTGATTTCTCTGCATTCAACTTAGTAAAACTCAGTGTACTTTATTCAAAGTTTCAAATCAATTTTACTTTTATAAAACTTCCCTATGAAAGTATAGTTTTGCACTCCTGCAGTTATTTAGTTTTATCAGTTGATATGTTGATGCATTATAATTCCCATATTTCATTCATTTCGGTTTATTCATTCTGGACTGTCTTCTTACATTGTCACCTTTGCGTCATTTTTGTTGATTTCTAGACGGAAGATTTACATTCATACCACTCAATTCCTATGTATTTGCAAATCTAACTCCCAAACTTCAATTCTTACATACATGCCACTTTACCTATGCATGAAAATGTGTATTTCACTTTTTAAAAGTTAAAATGGTAGTATTTTTTATGTGACATGAAAGATTTGGGTCGTATAGCTATAAATGTAAGAAAGTAAAGTTTAAGAATTGGGTAGTATGCATCTAAAAACTGAGAACACAACTTTTCCATACAGGTAACTATAAATTATTTACTCGGCAACTTGGGTAAAACATACTCAAATACAGTGGGAGTAGTAGACCTTGGAGGTGGATCTGTCCAAATGGCATATGCTATTTCTGAGGGCGAAGCAGCCAAGGCTCCAAAACCAACAGCTGGAGAAGATGAATATGTGAAAGAGCTATTTCTTAAAGGAATGAAGTATTACCTTTATGTTCACAGGTCGAACCTGAAAATGGTTTCCTTAATCACTCAGCTTAGTCATATTTGTCATGATGCATTACTGATATAACTTTTTTGCCTATAAATTTGCAGTTATTTGCGCTATGGTTTATTGGCTGCTCGAGCAGAGATCTTGAAAGTTGCGGAAGGATCTCATAGTGATTGCATATTGAATGGCTATCACGGTAAACTGCCTGTCACTCTTCAGTTATTTTTAGGACTTTCAACTTAAATAATGTTTAATTGCTATTTTGTTTCTGAGAGCCATTGATATTTTCTGTTGTCAAAATATAGTTTTAATACAAGGTTAGCATCTATAGTTGTCTACATGCAATTTAATTATGACATCAGTAACTTCACTGCATGTCCAATTGCTTAGTAATATCTCTTAAATGATCCTCTAGAAGAGAGAAAAATGATGGGATGATGATTTTGATAAATTTCAAGTACATGTAGTACCTATTGTGGTAAAATTTTCATTTTGTCAATTCTCTTATGTGTACATTTCTTGAACTTGAAAGTTGGCAATCTTATTTCAGCGCAGTGTCATATTATATCAAAATTTTAATGCCTGCAATCCGTATTTGAAAAAAATAACGGAATTGAAGTTCTGTCCTGCCAGCATGGAGTCAAAGCTCCATGTTGCCTATATTTAACATAGGCTCTGCTATGAAATCTTCAAGTTCATTAAGTTACCGTAATATTTATGGTTAACCCGACATGTCAATTTGACCCAAACTCGACCAAAAATTATAGTTCAGCCTGACCCGAATAATTTTTGGGTTGGGTTCTGGTGAGGAATTCTTACACTTTTAATGTTTTTTAGTTGGGTTTTGGTTGACCTGGCAACCCCAAATTGGCCTGTTAACTCAAAACTTACATGTCGATTTGAAACCAACCTCAAATTGAGTCGAAATTGGCTCGAATTTGACAGGAATAATTGTTTTGCCTCATGTTAAACTGGTTATAAAGGTTGAGTTCGTCAAGTTAAATAGCTTCTAGTCGGGTAAAACTTGAAACTGACCCACAAACCTGATTTGACACCTATAGACTATTGTATTAGCTTGGAGCCATTGTTATATGTTGAGATTTGTATCTTATTTTTGAGGGGTCTAATTGTAAATAGAAATTATTGAAGGAGTCTAGTGGGTTATTTGTAAAAGGGTTTTTATGGCTCTATAGATGCCCAATTCTTGAATGAAAAAGAATTAATTCCTTCAAAAAATTCTTTATGGTATAAGAGCCAAAACCCTAGCTGTTGTGCGTGGGTTATGACTTACCAGTTCGAGCATGGAGCAACAACATTGTGCGAGGCGATGCAGAAGAAGGTAGCGTGCAACTGAAACTGAGAGGAAATCGACTATGGTGAGGTTTCAAACACAAGGAGGGTACGTTTTTGCGTGCGAGATTGTTTGCGGGAGGAAGTAGAGGTTCAAACAACTTTGAAGTTGCGTGTGGGATTAAACGACAGGAAAAGGGAAACGGGAGTTGGCTTCGACTTCGAGAGCAGGAGCTGTCGTTGTGTTATCCATGCATAGGATGAGACAAGGGAGCAAAGAAAGAAGGGAGTTCTTTGTGTTGTGTGATCCCATCGCTGCTATCTAGCAAGTTCTTGTTGCAATAATTGGAGTTTCAAAGGTTTTGGTGTGTTGTGATCCCGTATTAGCAGCTATCGTCGCGCGAGCGAAGAGGAGTGCTCCCGAGGCTCCTGTTTTGACGCATAGGGAAGAGAAGAAATGGTGAGTTTCCAAGACCTTCGTACATAGCGATTCCTTTGTTTGCTGTGAAGCCGAAGGGAAGTGCAGACTCCTGCATGTGGAGGAACATGCAAAGGGCAAAGCCTTAAGTTCTTGTTGCGACCGAGAAATAGGAGAAAGTTTCGACTTCTCTATGTCACCTGAGGGACGAAACAGGGGGGCTTCGCGTGGAATAAAAACTAGCAAAGGGTTCGGATTAGGCATACTAAGCAAAGAAGAGTTAAAATTGAAGATGTCAAGAGATGAAGCTAATGCAAAATGTAAAGGATTGGAGCTTCTAGGGAAAATAGATCCCGAAGTTTTGAAGGTCTTAGTCGTGCTCATACGGGGGGCTAATATTTGACGAGAGCCAGTACCTCAGCAAGTGTTTCGGCTCAGTTGAGTGGACTTTCTAGAATGCGATCAACTTTGGCTGTCTTGAGCTCATGTAGGGAGGCCCTCAGGTGCTAAAACTGTGGAGAAGTGAGACACTTGAGCAAGGCCTATCCAAAGTTACCTAAGGAGAGAGAGACAAGTGGATGTAGACAATGTAGAGATCGTGGTTGTAGCCGTGGAGGCCAAATAGGTGGAAGAGGAGACTATCGGACAAATTTGATGGTATTAGAGGATGAGAGAGAGACAGAGATGGACTTTATTGATAAGGATCATGAGCTCCATAAGATGTTGAAGAGAATGCAAAGAGCGGTGTATATGACTAAGGATGCATCCACATTACCGTCATCCAAGGGCAACACTGCCACTTATGCTTACTCAACCAAAGACACTCGTGATACACATGCTCTTGCCTCTATATCGACCACAAGAACACCATAATGGATAGTAAATTCTGGTGCATCTTGACATGTGACAGGTAACGCTAGGGAGTTCTTTTCCTATACTCGTCTAGTAGTTCCATATAATATTCAGACTGGTGATAGTACAACACAACCTGTGATTGGTAAATGTACAGTGAGAGGTGTCAATTCTATGACTTTGTCCAATGTTTTGCATGCTTCTTTCTTTCCAGTGAGCCTTTTATATTTTAGTGTCATTTGTTTCAATTAAACTGTGATGTTTCATTTGATATTCCTAAGATGATCTTTAAAAAAAAGGAGATTGGACGAAGACTGGGGGCTGACACGTGGCATAGTGGACTCTAGTACTTGGATAGAGAGGGGATTAACTCAGTCTTGACATCCATGGTTGAGAATGCTAGAGCAGGAAGATTTAAAAGGCGTGTGGAGGATATATTGTTGCTATATCACAGACACATGAGATACTCATCATGCATCTATTGAGTTGTTTGGACCCATCCTTGTATGAAAAGGCAAAAAATGAGAAACTGATGTGTGATGTCTGTGAGTTTGGCAAGCTCGCTAGGAGCTCTTATATCAGTTCTAAGAATAGGCTCCGGCGTGTTTGATTAATTATATTCAGATGTATGGGAATCTTGTTCTACAACTTTGATGAATGATTACAGATCTTTTGTGACGTTCATTGATTGTTGTTCTCGTGCTACTTGACTATATCTCATGAAGAACAAAAGTGATGTGCTTGTTTGCTTTAAAGAATTTCACATGACAATTCAAACTCAATACAGTGCAGTAGTGAAATTATTAAGGTCTTATAATGGGACAGAGTAAGGCGTTTGAGGAGTACTTGTCAGCCCAAGCGATACAACATTAAACCACATGCCATACACACCAGCACAAAATAAAATAGCAGAGAGGAAGAATTGTCATCTTCTAAAGGTAGTCCATAGCATAATGATGGCAATGAATGTCCCACAACACTTTGGGGGCAAGTAGTGTTGACATCCACTCAATTGATTAACAGAATTCCTTCAAGAGTGCTCGAATGGAAGTCTTCTTGTTAGATATTGAAAGGAGACAACGGTTGGATCTTTCTATTGAAGGTATTTGCATGTGCATGCTTTGTGAAAGACAACTGATAATTTATAGGGAACTTGGATCCCATGACAGTGAAATGTGTGTTTGTGGGTTATTCTGCTATTCAGAAGGTTTAAACAATGCTACACTTTGAAGGTGAATTTACCATTTGATGACTTAACAGACACTGAAGATACAAGAATAGAGAGATTGAATAGTAGAGGTGCTAGAGTGGTGCAAGTGAGATCAATGTCATGTCCTATGATGTGGGGTGAATCAACTGAGGAGACGAAAATCGAGGAGATTGGTCCCATATATGGTGGGATTCAGGCTGAATGTGAGCTAAGGGCGTATACACGGAGGAAGAAGCAAACTGAGGGAACAAAGTTTGTTGTGCCAATAAGTCCCTTGTTCCAGTTTTCTCTAACTCTTGAGACACCTATATCATTCACCTTTGATTCCAAACTCCCAGATATTATTCCTTCTCTGTCCACTCCTAACCCCCAACATTAAGGAGGACCTTCTGTAGCAATGCGAGACATTTTTCTTATCGTCTTAGGTGAGAACTTGACATTGCGAACTTTATTTCTTATTCTAACATCTTACCGTTGCACGGACTGTTCATTGCATCATTGGACTCTTTCTCTATACCAATATGTTGACAGATAGCTAAGGAGGATCCAAAGTGGAAGGATGTCATGTTGGAGGAACTTGGTGCTCTCGAGAAAAATAAGACGTTTGAAGCTTGCGTTGCTACAAACGGGGAAAAAGGCAATCGGTTCCAATTCGGTCTTCACAATGAGGCAGACCTCAAAAAGAAAAATTGATCGTTATAAGGTACGGTTGTTGGCTAAAGGATATAGTCAGACCTATATCATCGACTATGATGAGATATTTACACCTGTGGCATAGATGAGCACAGTCAGGACTCTTATCTCTCTGACTGTGAATGGTAGATGGAGGTTACACTAATTGGATGTGAAGAATGTATTTCTCCTGAGGATCTACTGGAGGAAGTGTATATGGAAATATCCCTGGACTTTGGTACAAACTAAACAGTGGGCAAGCTATGTAGACTTAGGAAGTCACTGTATTGTTTGAAACTGTCTCCTTGAGCTTGTTTTGACATGGGCTATCGGTAGATCCTTGACGACTACACAGTGTTCATTCGACGAAATGGTGGCCACACCACTATACTTACCGTGTATATGGATGATATGATAGTCATTGTTGATGATGAGGAAGGGATTGTGCTGCTAAAGACACGATTGGGCAAATAGTTTGAGATGAAGGACTTGGGACTACAGAGGGGATTGTTCTATCTCAGAGGGAGTGTAATAGATTTGCTCATAGAGACAGACATGTTGGGATGCAAGCATGTCATTTCACCAATTGATCATAAAGGAAAGTTGAGTGAACAGGCGGGAAAGCTAGTTGATCGAGAGAGATAACAGAGGTTGATAGGTCGTCTCATCTGAGTCACACATGTCCAAACATCTCATTTGTAGTGAGCGTGGTGAGTCATTATATGAATGATTCTAGGAATGATCATGTGGACACAGTGTATCAGATTCTGAGGTACCTGAAGAGTGCACTAGGGAAGGGGTTGATCTTCAGGAAGAATGGTCATATAGACATTGAGGGCTATTGTGATGCTGACTAGGCAAGCTATGCAGATGAGAAAAGATCCGCCTCAGGATACTTTATGTTCGTAGGGAGCAATCTGGTTCCTTGGAAGAGCAAGAAACAATCTCTAGTAGCGAGGTCAACAACAGTGGCAGAGTATAGGGTCATGGTGTTAGAGTTGTCAACAAGATGATATGTTGAGAACCTTGTTGGTAGAGCTCAAGTTGGACCAAAGAGCTCAAATGAAAAAGTTGTGGTGTGACAAGTCAACAATCAATATTGCCAACAACCTGGTGCAACACGATAGAACCAAACATGTGGAGATTGATAGATTCTTCATAAAAAAAAGCTGAATAACAGGCAACTAGAGCTAATTCATGTAGCCACTGGAGAGCAAGTGGTTGAGTGCCTCACTAAAGGATCTAGTTCATTAGATTTGTCCAAGTTATGTAACAGGATGAACTTAGTGGATATCTTTTGCCTATCTTGAGGGGGAGTGTTGAGATTTTTATCTTATTGTTTAGGGTTCTAATTTTAAATAGAAATTATAGAAGAAATCTAGGGGTTATTTGTAAAAGATTTTGTATGGCTCTATAGAAGCCGAACTCTTGAATGGAAAAGAATTGATTCCTTCAAAAAATTCCTTATATGTTATTGACATCTTTGGAGTTGGCTTAGTCTCTGCTTTGCAATTTTGGTTTGCTTCATGATGTTGCTTCAAAATTATTTAGGCTATGGCCTTCAAATGCATTATAATCGATTAATATCATAAATGGTTGCCATAGAGCTAGAGTTATATGCTAACAAAGTATCATGAATCAACCAAGACTCATTAAAAAATGCTATCTAGGCACAAAAACATACTAATATGTTAAGATTCTTGACCTCACTCCAGTTTAATTGTTGGCTCTACTTATAGGCTCAAGTTCTTGATTTTTTGCGTGGGCCCAAATAGGGATTATACAACTTTTTAAGTAATATTTTTTTTGTCAACATATTTTTATCAATTTTATATAATAAAAAAGCTAAGTCTTTAATATCGGTCCTATGTTTGGATAAAAAAATTATGGGTTTTTAATTATTAATTTTTGCCCCATTTTAAAGTTTTTTTTGGCTTCATCTCTGGCCACATCAATTGTGCCCTATGAAAATTATTGAGCATTGGTTTATCGCCAAGAATGCTGAGATCATTTATTTATGAAAATTATTTAAAGTTTTTTTTGGCTTCATCTCTGGCCACATCAGGGCACGTCGAAGCCGCGAGGGTTGAAGGCCAATTTGCCACAATGGTTTATCGCCAAGAATGCTGAGATCATTTATAAATATAATAATCGAGCTTAGTTCATTTGCGGCTTGAGCTTGATTATATCGAGCAACTCGTTTATCCTCGTCGAGCTGAACTTGGTGATTGAATAAATTAACAAGAATTCAAAAAAAGTATTCAAACTTATTCAATTACATTAATTAAACGATCACAAGTGAGCTCTAATTGAATCGGGCCACGAATAGTTGCCAAATGCTTAGGTCATATGTAGCACTACTAGTTCTGATCGCCAGAAGTGGGCATCTATGTTGGAGAGAATGCAGAAAAGGTTCTTTCCATCATGATGTCTTTCTCAATTTAGTTTAAATTGCTAAGTTTGTTAATTTCTTTTATTAAAGTATTATGTTATATTTTAATTGAAATGATGATTGAACTCTAGAATGCAATGCACAATGAAATCACATTGAAAACCCCAATCTACATGCAGTCAACTTTTAAATTAAGAAAAAATCAGTCACTTCTTATGAAAAAATACGAATACTCTTCTTTCATTTCAATTAATATAGTTTATAATCAATAAAATTTGAGATTTCCTATGAAAATTATTGAGCATCAAGGATCGAGTTTACATGGTAAGTTTTCTCACCATAAAAAAAGGGGTTGGTCCCACACTTAAGCAGATCAATTTTGAAATAATTTTGGGTTGGCAGGTCAATTCGAACTTGACCTAAAAAATTAAACGAGTTAGGATTCCAAATCCGAACTTGACCCGAAAATTATTCAATTAGCCTGATTTTTTCGAGTTGAGTTTGGGTTGAGTTCCCATGTCAGATCAAATTTTTGACACATTTAGAGCCAAATCTCAATAACATCAATCGTTTCTTGAGCTAGCTAAGGCTTGTTGTATGAAACAATCACCACATTCAATCTTCGGTCTTTAGAAAGCTCCTTCGAACGGGCAGCTCATATTTAGGGGTGGAATCAGTTTTGTTTTCTTAGGATAGGCAAAATCACCAAATGCTTGATTTGGAAATTGTACTTACATACCACAGAAGTCTTATGTACTACATATGTCACACCCAAAATCTGATTTTTACACTTTTAACACCTTGGTGTTTACCATTAAAAAGATAGTGATGGTCGCATTTTTTATGTTATATTAAAAATTTGGGTGCTATGCATATAAATATAAATGTTTATGTGATACGCAAGAATTGTGTGGCATTTACGTAAATTTCCCAAAAAATTATTGAGGGGGGATGCAAAATTACTAAATTGTCTTAACTATATAAAAAAACTACTAAATTTTTTTTATTTCTATAGAAGAATCTGAAATTCTAGGGCAAGCAAATGGCCATTCTGAGCTTAATATATTTCTGTCCACGCTCATGATTACTGATAAAGGCGGGTTGATGTCCCCAAGGCTCTTTGATTATTAGAGATTGAAGTTTACAATGCTTCAGTGATAGAATCACGGGATTTTTATATTGTGAATCAATCCTTCTCCAAAACTATTACCAAGGCATGCTCTTACCTATTCATCTCCTTATTTGAGCCTTCTCTCACATCATGCAAGTTAACTAACTATTAGGAACTCTTAAGTAACATATTTTGATCAACCTCAACCCATCTTAAAAAAAAATTTATTTAACGACGCCCAATCTACCTCAAAGAGCGATATCATTCTCGATCCTTCGTACTTGACGGGCTCAAGATTATTATTGAGTCAAGTTTAGATAATAAGAATGATGTTTTCTCTTATGGCTTCTGCCTTGTAGGGTCGTACAATTATGGGGATAAACAATATCCAGCTTCCTCCTCACCATCCGGCGCTAGCTACGCGAAATGCCGGAGCGATACCGTCAAAGCTCTCAAACACGATGAAACAACTTGCACGCATCTGAAATGCACATTTGGTGGAATATGGAATGGCGGTGGCGGCGACGGACAGAAAAATATATTTGTAGCCTCATTTTTCTTCGATAGAGCTGCTGAGGTCATTATTAGTAGGAAGATTTACATACATACCACTCAATTCTTATGTATTTACATATCTAAAACCCAAAGTTCAAGTTTTACATACATACAACTTTATTCATGAAATGGTGTATTTCACTTTTTTTAAAGTTAAAATGGTGGTGTTTTTTATTTAATATGAAAGATTTGGGTTGTATAAATATAGAAAGTAAAGCTTTGGTGTTAGATATGTAAATACATAGGATATTGGGTGGTATGTATGCAAATGCCCCTTATTAATAATTCCAAATCAATTTTCTCCTTTGCCTACTAATCCACTGGATGCTAACCATGCGTAAATGAATCCTCTACTCAGGCTGGTTTTGTGGACCCAAATTTGCCAGTTGCGAAGGTTAAACCTTCAGATTTTGAGGAGGCTGCTAAAAGAGCTTGTAAATTGAGTGTTGACGAAGCAAAGCTCACCTATACCAAAGTAGCAGATGACAACCTTCCATATCTTTGCATGGATCTTGTTTATGAATTCACATTGCTCGTTGATGGATTCGGTAAGCGAAAGTTATTACAAGTTTTTCTATGATATTTTGAAATCATATAGCATTTTTATGACCACATTGAAAGTCAACATAAATGCTATATAGACCTGTAGTCCCAAAACAGTTCTCTAACTATTTTCATCGAGCCATTTTAATGCTTGAGTTTATGAAAGTGCTAAATTAGTCTCCGGGCTATCTTAGTGTGGGCTAAAAATATTCAGTGGAAGCAATTTCAACTCATATTAAAAGATTATGAGGACTAAATTGAAATTTTATGAACTCTGAGACTAAAGTTACATATACCAAGAAAAGAGAAATAAAGGTAAGGGGGATTTGCATATATACAATGAATTTTATTGATTTACATAGTTAATGTCTAAATATTTCTTATTTACTTGTTTAATGCTCTAAAATCTAAATCACATGCAAAATTCCACCAACACTAAAATCTAAAATCTTCTAAAATCTAAATCACATGCAAAATTCCACCAACATTAACTTATCTAGAATGAAACACTTTTTATGACAATAGGTTTTGGTGTGATTTAGACATTGAAAATATAAAGACCTTGGTGTTTGGCATGTAAAAGATAAGAATTTAATGGCATGTATGTAAATCCTCTTGAAAATTCAATAAAAAAAATTTTTATATTGGGAAAAAAAAATAAAAATAATTTTAATAATAAAGATATATTATAATAGGGATAGTTTCCATGTATTCCACACAATTCTTATGTATTTACTTATATAACGCCTAAACATTCATATTTACATGCATAACACTCAAATCTTTAACATCACATAAAAAAAATGTCGTCAACATCATCTTCTTAAAAATAAAATACACATTTTCATGCATTATGTTTATGATACTAAGGTGATAGTGTGTGCATATCAAACTTTTGGTATTAGATTATGTAAATACAAAAGAATTGTGCACCATGTATGTAAATTTCCAATAGTAATAATAATAGTAACCATTTAGCACAATGTATAAATATAACCATACATAACCCTAATCTCACAGGCTTGGAGCCATGGCAAGTTATCACACTTGTAAAGAAAGTCAAATATGGCAATTCTTTGGTGGAGGCCGCCTGGCCTCTAGGTAGTGCCATTGAAGTGGCTTCCATGGCTTAGCACAACTATAGCTGCTTCTGCTGCAATATCAATTTATTACGATCCTCTTAATTCCTGGAGCTATTCTTTTGTCATTTTGGTTGGGGAAGAGGTTCAACAGTTGCAGGTCTGAGTTTGCTCCGGATTCCATTAATCAGCTTCATCACAATTTATATATCATTATTTTTTCAGCCTTTTTTTTTTAATTTATTTTAAGGGAGAGAAGTATGTTATAATATTTGAAATTTGAGTTTATTCAGATCCTTTTGTTCGGTCAGGCGCTGTCTAGCAGTTGATTTAGTAAATGTTGTAAGTCTGGATTTACTAGATCCTGTTGGACATTTCAAGCAAATTTGTGGAATTGTGAAACTCTAGGATTTACTAAATCCCAGATTTTAAAGTTGCAATTTTTTTGTGTCTGATAGGATTTATGTTAAATCCAATTTAAATTCCTTATTAGACAGACCCTTAAAGCTGAAAAGTGAGAAGACTTTTATTGTTCAGAAGTATAGAGAAATGCATTAAATTTTTTGAAGCTACATTTTTGTATTGTGCTTTTGTTTTTGGTGAAGTATCTCAACTTGTGGGATTAATGTGTCACAAATGATGATATTACTTCAATTATATTGCCTTAATGATGTTGGCATTTAAAGTAAGATTACTACTTTGTATTTCTATGAGTTAAAAGTTGAAGGTGATTTGAGTTTTAAATTCAGGATAGTTTATTTACCAAATTAGCACTATGTAATTTTTTGAACTACTGGATCGTAGAATGCTTCGATCAAATCATTGAGAATTTGACAAGAAATATATATATATATGGGTTGGGATCTTATCGTAAATTTGGAGTTTTGAGTGAGAATTTGGAAGTGGATGAAAGAGTATGTTTGATTTGTAGATTGCAATGATTAGGGTTTGATGTTAACAATATAAGTATATAATTTTATCATTATATATCATTATATATCATTATATTAATTGATTTTAATAAAAATCGATATAATTTATTAGATATTATTTAATTTGATAGGGAGAGGATGATTAATTCTATGTATCTTGACTTTTTTGTTTATTTGTGTTTTTTAATCATGGTTATATCTTAATGGTATACATAATATTTAAAGTGCTTAAAATATTAAAAAAAATGATATAATCATAAAAATAGATCATCAAATAAATTTTTATTTAAATTTTCTAGCAAGTTTTTTTTTAATAATAATAGAATAGCATATTTACAAATATAATTAAGCAAATAAGCTATCTTTCATTTATTTTTTCTTTATCTAACAAGCCCTGTAATTTTCTTCAATTATACAAATAATTAAAATGAAAAATTTTTACATCAATAAATATTTATGTGTTCATCCAATAAACACTATATCAAATCCCTACTCTTGGACTTAATAAACCAATGATCCAACTATATGAAATTCTATAATTCACAAATTAAAAAAATAAATAAATAATTCACAAACTAAATAATAATAATAATAATAATAATAATAATAATAATAATAATAATAATAATAATAATAATAATAATAATAATAATAATAATAATAATAATAATAATAATAATAATAATAATAATAATAATAATAATAATAATAATAATAATAAACAGAGATTAGTAATGCCATTACTCAATGGCACATTATAGCTTTTAATAAAAGATACCTCTATTTCTAATAAACATCATTATTGAACAGTTTACTTGATAATCCCTGATTAGTTATCTAATGATAGTTCATAATCTCTTCTGCCTTCAGCAAACATCATCTCAATAGCAAGCGAGAATGGCGCAAACCTTCCTTTGCTCTCTCAATTACCTATAAAAAAACACAAAGAAGAACTTTGTTTCATTTGTGACATTTTTGTTAATTTAAGAAAAATTACATTTTGGGTCGATGCCAAATAAATTTGGTGGATAAATTAAAAGACTCCAAACCCAAGATTGCTAGGTTAATTTAATAGAGTGATGAGTATATGAGAGTATAAGATCTTGATTCTATACACAATAAATGAAATATATATTAGTATATAAGTACTAATTGAGCTAATATATTGGTGAAGGGTGATTGCAAAATGTAGAGGTTTGTACTAAATATTATTTTGGCATTTACATAAATACCTCTCAATTTATATGTATTTACATATCTAACAACTAAACTTTACTTTTTTTTACATTTAT